GAAGGGCCCACCGCTGCTACTGCGACAGCCGCTGAAGCCCTGGTCCCTTTAAATCACCTCAGGAACGCCACTCCTCGCCGCTCTAAGAACTGGGGTGGGCAGTGCCGCGCTCCGAGCAGTGCTGAGGGTTGGCTGGCCTACCCCTGCCCCTCCTGCCCGAGGTCTCGCCTCTTCCAGGAGCATGGAGCCGGCCCTTCCTACACCTCGCCCAGGGGCCTACCGGCTGTGCGTCCCCCTGCACATTGGCAGCTCCCCTTGGCAACGCTGAGGGGAGATCTCTACCGCCTCGGGGATTGTTACCGAGGTATGCTGCGTGGTGAGCCCACACCAGCGTTTCGGTCCCTTCACATGATGCCGTGCAGCGTGTGCCAGTGAGGTGACCCCGAGGCCCATGCGCTGCTGCGCCGGGCCTGCTGCACCACTCCTTCCAGTATCACCGGCTGTGCGCCCCCCTCACCTTCCTCCGTGACGCTGTCCACCACCGAGCCAAACACCAGGACGTCAGTGCTTCCGTCCGTGCTGCCGCCCAGCCCGCTGTCGCTACTCAGACCTGCGGGGCCAACAGAAGACAAATCGAGATCATTTTAATATGGGGGCAAACCACAAAGCCTGCTCGTGGTGCAGCACGGCGCCCATCTCCCTGGGCCACCCTGCATTTGTGGGATGCTCCGGCCTTCTCCACTGCATCTCCTTCTGGCACAAGGCCCGTGAGGGGATCCTGGAGGCCACGAGGTGGACAGGAGGCAAGTAGCAGCAGCAGCAGCAGCAGCAGCAGAGCATGCTTTACAGCAGGATGTGCAGCATCTCAAGCCAGCAACAACAACTCTCTGCTTTTACCCTTAGCTGCCCTGGCTTCCCCCTCCTAAGTGATTTCTCACCGCCCTGCAGGAGTCACTTTCCCAGCTCTCTGGGCCATTCATTTATATTGTGCTTCACATCTGCCAGGAGATGCCCCTCCCCTAGAACTCCCCACAACACCCTTTCCCCCTCGGGTTGCTAAATATCCCAGGGTGGGCAAACACAGCACAGAAATGGAAGTGCAAAGAGTTGAAGCCACTTGAGCAAAGATGCACAGCACCTCCCTAGCAAAGCCTTTTTGCTCCTAACACCCACTTCTGCAGAAGTGGCAGCCTGAGAAATGGCCAAGGGGACAAGCACTGTGGCTGGGAAGGAAGGTCTCCAGCGTGACCCTGTGCAAACTTTGGCTTGTTGCATTAGAGCGCCCCACACCTTCAGGAATTCCACCGGGCTCAGCTCCCTGCTGCTCCGTACTTGCCAACCTCACCAAATCTCATTAGCATCTCATGACAAGGATTCAGTAGTACCATGACCGGTTTCTCCTTTCACTTCCCTTGGGTTGAGGTGGGGGGGGAGGGGAGGAAAATCTGATCTAGCACCCCCTGCTGGTCAGAGTGAAGGAAATCTACCTCTGCAAAAGGTGCACATCCCTGCCAGTGCTGGGAGGGAAAGCAGCAGCAGGGGTGAGAACTGAGGTGCAGGTCCCGGAGAAGGGCTCTCCTCTTCCTCATCCACTTCTCAAAACTCACCACAACCCCAGCCAGGCTCCCCTTGCCCTCTGAACCCGCTGCCTGCTTAAGGCTGCAGAGGAATCCAGGCCAGTGGCAAAGACTCGCTTTCCCAAGTTTGTAATGAAACTTGCTGCCCTGGGCCACATCGTGCCAGTCAGCCTGACCCTCCCCACTGAGCCGTACCCCATCCATTGTGTTTACACAGGAGTCAACTAGACAATCCCCAGAACTTTGCCTGTGAACACATGAGCTGAGCACCCCTTGCACACAGCCCCCCAAACAATATCCAGTGAATCCCGCAAGGACTGTGGCCAGGAAGGAGAGACCAGCCGGCTTGGCGCTCTGAAGTCTGCCTGTATTAAGCGCTCTCCAGGCCCACCGGCAGGGGGGTAAAAGGGAACCCCTGTTCCAGGGCCCGGCAATTCTAAAGGGCCTGATGCTTCTGGCCACTGCTACTGTGGCAGTGGCAACACCCAGAGCTTGGGCCCTTTTGCATGCTCCGGGCAGCTGTGAGGCCTGATGGCGGGGAGACCAGGGTGGCATGCTCCAGGAGGCATTGAGGGCTGGCTGCCCTGGCCCCATCCCTTCTGCTCAAGGCCCCTCCCCTTCAGGGAGCACAGAGCAGGTCCCCCCGCCCCCCCCACAACTTGCCCAAGGGCCTGGCGTGGTTACTAGCTCTCCTGGCACCCTCTGAAGCTTCTGCTCCAGTCCCCGCTGCAGTTACAGCTGAGGCCAAACTAAAGAAGAATCCTTCCAGGAACATAGGACCTGCCAGATTGGATCAGATCTGCGGCCCATCTAATCCAGGGGCCAGCATCAGAGGAAGGTGTAAAACAGATTGGGTTAATCTGCCCCTCACATTACGTCCCATCCCCATAGTCAAAGATGGGTGAAGCCCTGAGCTATGAGGCTTAATATCCCATCCAAAATTTGCTGGTATTAATTATAACCCTTTGCGAATTGCTAGCAGAGCAGTATGGTCCCAAACCAAAATCTTCAGGATTTACTGCTGAGGATTACTGAATTTAGGATTCAGATCCAAATCACCAAGTTATTTCCCCCAAGTTAACCCACAACCTCTCATTTCAGGATTTGGCAGTTGGAACCACTGTTTAAAGATGCAAACAGGACACAGAGACATCTCCATGATGTCCTGCTGCTGGCTTGGCTTCCCTTTCTGTGCAACGGCATCAGCAATCTTTCCTTCTGAATAAAGTGCCAGCCAGTTTAAAAGCAGGCTTCTGATCTTGCACATCCCTTGCAATAGAAAATTCTACACCGACTTGGTAGTGTACCCAATAAAAACCAATTGCAAGAAAAATAAAGGGAAAAATAAATCGTGGTGAATTTATAAATGAAGTCACTTTGTGTTAGACATTAAGCCCCGCCACTGATCTGTTACAACATCAAAAAACCAGTGATGTAGATGGAATCCTGCCAAACTTACTCTGGGGTAACAACAGAGTCTGGTCCAAATTTGTAGACTTCAGACACTTTTATTTTTTGTCAGTGATCTTGATATACCATTGGGAAATTAGTAATAAATTGTTTTTAGGAGTGACACATATTTTTCATGGACTGATGAACAATTTTGTCAATCGTTTCGGTTTAGTAGGCACTGCTGAAGAGTAAGGTATGATTTTGTACTTGTTTAACATAAAGAATCAGTATTTATAAGGGTGGCTGATTGATTGTCAATTCACTGCGACTTTCTTGTACACTAATGGTGGAAGGCTGTAAGAGCTGCTAAGCACCTCCCACATGGCATGTAGTGTCTGGCAGGATCAAGTCCCAAGTCCTTTCCCTGTATGAAAAATGATGGACTCATAAAAGTCATAGTGTAATAGCATCATCCAGAGCAATGTTCCTTCTAATCTTTTCCATCCATGTGTGGATTTTTCCATCAATGTGCAGAATAAATTTTATGTGCACCAAGGCATGTGCAAAGTGCAGCACAGTAGAAATAAAACAGCTTGATGTGCGCTCTCTGCTAATGAGCTGGACAGTATGTGAATCTCTCCTGAGTGGCCACCCAAGTGCACAGTTTACAGGGAACACTGGTGCAGAGCCAGATATGATAGGGGCAAGTGAACATCCTCCACTCAGCTCAGGCAATGCATATCAATCTTGCCATGACACACACAATATTCTGTTGCTGGCACTCTCCTCAGCACAGGTTGTCAGTTAAGATGAATAGTGTCATATGGCATTTGTTATAGGGACGCTGCACCCTTAGACACAAGACTGAGATCATCAAACTCGTTTCACTTGTGACTTTGAAGATGGGTTTGAGTCCTAGCTGTCAGAGGCACCCAAAGGCCTGTGAACTCCTGGACCACAACTAAAAAAGGGAAAGGAATTCTTAGTTTAATTGGGTGAATTTTGCTGCTTTTCCTTTTTTCCCAAACAGACCACGATTAGGCCTCCAACTTCTTCATTATTCAAAATCACTGCCTGAAAAATGTCAGTGATTAATCCTCGATCCCTGGATTGTTTTGGCTCAATACACTGCAGTGCTTTGATTGGATTAGACCTCCAGAGGCTGTTTCTGTCCCTTTTCTGAATGAGCATAACTTTTTGGATCAGGCATCCTGGGTAAAGAATTAAAACGTCACCGTCCATGAATCTTCCGTAATGTTTCGTTTCCAATTTGCTGCTTTGACAAATGTCTGTGAAATCCTGGCGGTGTTTTGTGGACCGCAAAAAAAAAAGTAAATGCAGACAGGCAGGCTACTTTGTTACAAGTGTGAACCAATGTTTGAGGAAAACCGTTGCCAGGATTCACCGGCTCTGGCCAAGAAAAGCCCCAGTTCTGCAACTGGATACACACCTGTGCCCGTATGCAGCTTCTTTGGCTTCAGCATGGCTCCATGAATGAGCAGAAGCAGAGAGCGGCCGCCTTAGATATGAATGGGGGGATGAGGACCCTGTGCTCTCAGGGTTAGATTTCGCTCTCAATAACAACAGCAGCTCCACTGAGGACAATGGAATTACTCCAGATTAACCCCAAGGTGAGTGAGCAGCACGTGGCCCGTGGCATGTACTCAGGAGAAGCACTCAGCACTAAATTAATTCCATTTCACGGAATCAGTGGTAAAACTCCCACTACCATCAATGGGAGCCATGTCAGGCCAGCGCTGAGTGCTTGGGAATAGTCCAGCGCTAACCACTCTAGTAAAAGAATCATTGCAGGTTAGCTAAAAATTCTGAATCCATGAATTCCCTACAAACTAGTTTTTCTTGCTAGCTGCTATGACATCTTTAAAGCCCTGACTCAGCAAAGTACTAAAGCATGTACTTAATTGATTTCAGTAGGACTGAACATGTACTTTAAGTTAAGCAGTTTCAGAGGGGTGGCCGTGTTAGTCTGTAACTTTAAAAATAATGAGTAGTCCTGTGGCATCTTAGGGACTAAAAAAATATAGAGAGAACCATGAGCTTTCGTGGGCAAAACCCACTTCATCAGATGAACTGGAGTAGAAATAACAAAATCCAAGATATATATATATATATAACAGCAGCAGAAGTAGCTGTCAATTGTAGGACTGTGTTAATGAGGCTAATTGAGTGGGCTGGTTGTCTCCCATTCATAGCTTTTGAAGTGAAAATGCGGATGTTAAAGGCAGGAGAAACTGGCTTTGTAATGCGCCGACCAGTTAATGTCTTTATTCAAGCCTGGGATAACGGTGTCAATCTGTAGATGAATTCCAGCTCTGCAGACTCTGTAATTGGTGAGTGAAATTCTTCTGTAGAAGAATGGCTACTTTTAAATCCATGATTGCATGACCAGGCAAGTTAAAATGTCCCTTACAGGTTTCTGCGTGTTACCATTCCTGATGTCTGATTTGTGTCCATTCATCCTTTGTCATAGAGACTGTGCAGTTTGGCCACTACACATGGCAAAGGGGCATAGCTGGCACTTGCTGGCATTTGTCACATTAAAGGATGTGCAGTTGCATGAGCCCCTGATGTTGTGGCTTATGTGGTTAGGTCCTGTGATGCTGTCGCTTGTATAGATGTGTGGACAGAGTTGGCAACAGGGTTTGTTGCAGGGGTAGGTTCCTGAGTGAGTGTATCTGAGGTGTGATGTGTGGTGCTTGTTTTTTAAAGTAAGCGTGTGCTTTGCTGAATCAGAACCTAAAAAACCACAGCTGTTTTGCTTTACTAGAATATCTACTTATCCATCTATGGTATTTCTAAGGTACCTGTCACAATGTTATCTGAGTTCCAATGGTGTGATTGCAAAAAATACAGCCAAGTTTTGGTTGGAACAAGTCATATCTTTGGGGCTCTTTTGCTGCTAGCTGCTAGGGCGTCACCTTACCTCCGTCCAGGAGGAACGGCATACCGCTCCCACCGGGACCAATGCCACTCCAGGGGCCAGCTGCCAGCGGGTGCTGCATAGAGATGTGGCTGGCACCTAAGAGGAAGGTGGACGGAATGTGAGGGGAGTTAATCGTCACAAACACACGCAAAAAAAAAAAATTAGCAATAAGACTTGCTAAAAAAAATTGAAAAAGCTGGTGAAATGCACAGGATGGGGGGACAGAGTGCGGAAAAAAAATCCCATTCAGCAAAATACAAATGCCTGGGATTGACTGGAACGAAATTAAAACACAAACAGTGGAGTAAAGAGGGCAATGGGTTGGGGTTTGTGCACATTAACTCCCCGTCTCTCTCTTGAAACACTGACCCCGGTGTGTATGTGATTTGGTCCGCAGTGAGACAGATACCTCGCCATCGGCTGGGAGCAATACACGTGCCCTAGAAGTGGTGGGAGGCAAAGACGTGCCGAGCGCAGAGTTGTGATATTTGTACTTACTGCGTGGTCCTGAGCCGGCACCGGTGTCAAAGTACGAGAAGAGGGAGTCCAGCTCATCGGGGCAGAAGAGAGAGTCTCGCCGGAATTTCCTCTCCAGAGTGGCAGCTGTTTGCAAGGAGAGATTGTTAAATATGGTGGTGGTGGGAGACACACCCAGAGTTGTACTTGTATAAGCGGAGCCTGAAAGTTGACAAATCTATCCAGTTAACAAGCAAGGAGAATAGAGGAGGGGTTCCCAAACTTTTTGACACGGGGACCAGTAAATCCATTCACGAACTTTTGGAGGACCAGTAATGTTCATTTGCATATTTGCATATTCATTAATCAAATGATGAATATTCAAATAAGTTGTTTCTGGTCCTCCCAAAACCCCCAGTGCCAGCTTTAGCAAAGCTTTTGATATGGTCGCCCACAATATTCTTGCCAGCAAGTTAAGGAATATGGATTGGATAAATGGACTGTAAGACAGATAGAAAGCTGGTTAGACCAGGGTTTCCCAAACTTTTTACTTTAGTTGCAATCCTTTTTCTTCCAATACTGCTTTTTGCAGCCCAAAAATATAAACACATAAAAAACAAACTGAGAAAATACCAGACATATAACATGTCTGGCATTTTCTCATTAGGTAAGTTGTATTATTACTAGATGTATCAGTTTGTAGTTTCAAACTGCCTGGCTGGTAAATGTGCTCAGGCTGCATGAGTGTGTCTACCAGCCAGACAGTTTTTCTTCCAATACTGCTTTTTGCAGCCCAAAAATATAAACACATAAAAAACAAACTGAGAAAATACCAGACATATAACATGTCTGGCATTTTCTCATTAGGTAAGTTGTATTATTACTAGATGTATCAGTTTGTAGTTTCAAACTGCCTGGCTGGTAAATGTGCTCAGGCTGCATGAGTGTGTCTACCAGCCAGACAGTTCGCAACTACTCGAGGG